TCTCTGGGGGGGGCGCACGGGGGGCTGAGTGAGGCCCTCCCGGAGACCCCGCGTAATGCCCCCCAGCTCCATTAGCCAGCGCCTGCCACCACCGCGTTACTCGAGGGACAAGACGCTCGTTAGCAGCATCACCGCAGCTGCCACCAGCTTGCGGAGCAGTTATGCTGGGACTACAGAGAGCAGAGTCCAGAAATAGCATCCTTGGAAAGAGGGCATGGAAAAGCTCCAAGTCAGCTCGTAAGAACCTGAAATGTCACCCGAGGAGGACGCTGGAGCGAGGACTCTGCAAGGGCTCCTCCAGCCAGCCCACCCCGCAGCCTGGAGAAGGGCTGCCAGGCACCTGCGCTCAGCGGCACGGCCTGGCGCCCCCTGCCTGCACCCCTCAGCCCGCACCACAGCCGCCTGGCCTTGGTCTGTTCACGCGATGCTGGGGGTCTGACAGCCCCAGAGCATGGGGAGCAAGAACTGGGGGAAAACTATCCCCCTTTCCACTTGAGGTTCTGCTAGGGAGCCTGGCAGGGCAGCAGAGCTCGGAGGAGCCTTCCCCTGGCCCTGTGTGAGCTCCCTTTGCCTACATGCACACCCTGACCTTTCACTTGTCTCTCGAAGTCATTGCACAGCTGGGTGATCTCCTCCTCTTGTTTCTGTTAGGGAGAAGCTACATGTTAGAGACAGACAACCAAATCCCGAGCCAGCTGCATCCCGAGTGACTCCCTCCTGCCCCCCGGGAAAGTCTCCCGCCGTGGCACCAGTCCCCCGTGATCTGTGCAAACGGTGGCTCGTAGGTTCTCCAGCCACTCTCACAGCTCCCTGCTGTGGGAGAGGGGTTTCACAGGAGCTGCCCCCTTCTCCCCATTCCTGTGCTGAACTTCTAGTGCCTCTAAGTGCATCGGTTACCAGTGCCTGTGGGAAACCCATCCCACCCTACAGAGAGAGACGGGGAGGCAGGCTCCCGCTCACACGCTGGGGCTGGGAGGGCTCAGCCTATGGCTCCATCGTCTCCCTCTGCAGCACAGGCACCTCACATATGGCTCTGGCCACACCAGGGACGTACCAGGCGCATGTTTTTCATTGCCACCTCGCTGGCCAGCTCCTGCTCCTTCAGCTCCACTTTCAGGGAGCGCATGTCTTTATGCAGCTCCATCTCCTGGTCCCAGTGATCCTTCTGGGCCCGTTTCATGGACAGGGTGCCCTCCACCTTCAGCTCGGTGAGGTTTTCCCGGTGTTCGTACAACAAGTGCTTCACCTTCTGCTTGTAAACCTAAAGACAAGGCACAGACCGGGTGAGGGGCTTCAGCAGGCGACAAAAAAGCCAGGATGCTCCTGGCTTGCATCCTGCCCCGCTCCTCCTCCTCCTCTTCCCCCTTCCTTCTCCTCCTCAGAGCTGCCCAAGGCTCACCCGGAGCTTGGGGCACTCACACCACCTCCCAGCCCTCTCCTCTCCCACCTTGATCTCCGCTTGATGCCGCTCCTCCGCCTGCTCCATCTCCCGGTCCTTGTTCCGCAGCTCTGCTCTCTTCTCCTCCAGCTGCCGGCAGGTGATCTCCCAGAAGGTGTGAATCTTGTCATGCTCCGACTGGAAATAGTTGCTCTCTTCCCGTTCCCGGTCCAGCTCCTCCCGGAGACGCATGACGTGCTTCTCCAGCTGCAAAGCCAAGAGGAAGAGCCAGGTAGGGGGAAAAGGAGGCCTTGGACAGATGCCTTTGCAAGACACCTCATAGCAAGCCGTGTCCAAACCTGGTGGGACACAGTGGCTGTTGCTGGGACAGAGAAGCGCAGGAGAGAAGGGGAGGAGCTCTGACAGAACCCATCAGCCTCTGGAAAAGGAGTAACAAAACCTTATCCTACTGCAAGCAGCCTGGGCTCAGATTGTCTTGCAGTGTCTAGTAACACCATTCCCAGATGCCTAAACACTACTGAATCATAGAATCAGAGAGTCATTTAGGTTGGAAAAGACCCTTAAGATGATCGAGTCCAACTGTTAACCTACCATGGCCAAGCCCACCACTAAACCCTGTCCCTAAGTA